TCTGTCTGTCTGTCTGTCTGTCTGTCTGTCTGTCTGTCTGTCTGTCTGTCTGTCTGTCGCAACAACTATATATCGGCTAAACCTTGGTGTTGGACCATTGTGTTGGTTAATCTACTTGGCATTTCCAGAATTGATGATCAGACAATTAATCAAATTGGATGTTTGACGCAGCCACATTTTCAAAATGGGCAGGGTTCATGTGATGGAGTCTGTTTTGAATCACGCAACTCCCTGACCAATCAGCACCTGGTAGTCTGCTGTTAGGCCTAACTCAGCCCTGATCAAAGTCAGTATGTAATACGTTACATTACAGTGCTGCATGCAAATGCTATCCTAACCAATTATTTGAATCCCTTCTCCAATGACTAGATCAATTCAAAGGTATCTTCCTCACCATTTATATACTGAGGACAGTTGTCATTACACAGACAAATATATTCATAGTGCTTACATCCTTGTTACAGAACAAACACATCCATGTTTTGTTGCCTGTAAGATGATCAAAGGTAAGACATGCCTCTGAGATAACCAAATGGTGAGCTGGAAGAAAATGTGCAGATTCAACTAAGGGGCTGAGGGCTGTGAATATATGTTTTCTCTTTTCACATGTTCAAGTTTTGCAATATAGATATTATTAATTAACATGACCCTAAGAGGAACATTCATGAATAAAGAAATTCATTTGTGATTAGGGTTTATTTATTGTGACAACAAAGAACAATAATTAGTAACAATAATACAAGGGGGTATGCAATTCTGAAAAGTCTTTAACAGTTAAACATTTTTAACGGATATGGAATTAAAAGACGTAAATAATTATTACATTCAAGCAGGGGACGAACGCGTTGAAAATGCCATCCATCCATCCATTATCAATACCGCTTATTCCCTCAGGGGGTCGCGGGGGGAACTGGAGCCTATCCCAGTGGACAGTCCGCCAGTCCATCGCAGGGCCACACACAGGACATAGAAGGACAAACAACCACTCACATTCACTCCTAAGGGCAATTTCCCCAATCTCCAATCAGCCTAACATGCAGGTTTTTGGACTGTGGGAGGAAGCCGGAGAACCCGGAGAGAACCCACGCAGACACAGGGAGAACATGCAAACTCCACCCAGAAGGGCCCTGGTTCCCCCGGGATTCGAAACCATAACCCTCTTGCTGGGAGGCGACATTGCTAACCGTGGCGGTTAGCAATGTCACCACCGTGCCGCCCTGCGTTGAAAATGTTCCTACGATATTGCCACGTTCCAGAGGAAATGGAGAGGAGGAGCAAACATAAGACTATCCACACGGTTGAATAAGCTCAGAGGATCTTAAATTTCATTGGCCGTAATTCTTTTTCAGCTCCCGCCTATTTTTCTCTAACAAGGATGTCATTGGCTTAGAAAGCTGTAGGTTTTCTAGTGGACGGGGTTTCTTTGGTTTTGAGTTTTATGTAATCAGGAGGACACATTTTGATTTCTCTTTTCTGAACGAAATACACTCGAGGTTAACCGTATCGTCTTCATACTGTGTTATCAAGCTACGTAGACTTGCCATGGCCTCAAAGAAAAACGCTAAAGTGCACGTTAAATCAAAAGGTGAGTTGCTGCTACTCCTTCTAATTCTGCAGTTGCGTTGTATGGTTTGTTGGAGGCCTTTGGAAGTTAATCGGATGTTAGGCTGTTGTTTCATTTAGGGCCCGTGCCCTAGCTGACTTTCTTTTCAAAATAATACATTACAGGGATTTCTTGTTTGATGAAGTGAACCGATTTCATCTTACTTGGGACAAAAATGAAAACGAGTAGCCGTGCTGAGTAAACGTGGTTATGCCGCAACGTGAAAGCTTTGTGTTAAGCTGGTTGAGAACAATTTGGAGTCCAGATGCTTCTTTCATTGCTTGCTAGAGCAATGATTTTAACGACAACTAGAGATTTCGTCCTGCTTTTGTGGCCAATGTTCATGTTTGACAATCGGGTTGTTTGCTACAGGAAACACAGCTTTTAGGATTGCAGTAGAACACTTTCGCACGCGAGATATCTGCAGGCTTCTCCAGTGAGGCTTAACTTCCTGATCATATTCCAATCAATTAGTTTAAACGTTTAGTCATACTCAAAAGGTATGGCTAAATATAACCTGCTTCCATCCCCAAGACTAATTAGTTCGATAATCACTATAACCCACACGTATTTACTCACCTTTTTAGTAAGTAAACTTGCGTGGGTTATACGTGGGTTCAGAGGGTCTCTGTCCCCATGTAACAAATCATGGCTCCATGATCAAATGCATTTCCATAGCCTATACATTGCAAATGTCGAGAGCGCATTGAGAAGCTCTGTTCTGATACAGGGAAGTTGGACCTGCTATCAAGCCAAATTAATGTGGTATGCTGAGAAACGTATGTATTGCCCACACAAACCAAACCCTTGACCAAATTTACCTTGTAATTTTGTACAAGACTGATAATTCATAGAAATATATTTAATACAAATACAAAAGAGAACCAAGTTTTGAGTTTATACAAACGATAAAGAAGGAATGTGTGGTTCAACTTTGAGAACACTCTGTTCTTCTTTGACAGCACAGGACTTTCTGTCCACAAGCGCACACATATGTATGTGCGTGTGTATATAAACATGTATATGTATGTTTTTTTTTATTATTGTAATCTCTTTTATTCTCTCTTTCTCCAAATCCTAGAAACTGCTCAAGTTTGGAAAGGTGGAAGGGTAACAGACGTGAATGTTTTGTGTCATTTGCATGAACAGAATATTAACTTGCTTATTTTTTACTACACTCCAGACTGAAATGCATGAAATTGCATTGTTGTTTGAATCTTAATCGGGTGTGGAGATTTAATATGAAATGGAATCATGGTGATTCCTCATGATTAACACAGTATGAAAAATATTGTTTGGTATTTTAATTTGATAATACACAATAAAAGTTTTGTTACTGTAAGGGACCAGACTTAACAAGGACAATGGTGTTCCAAAAATGAGAAAAAATCAATTAAATAATTTGAGAAATGGTAAACAAAAGGTCAAACTTCAATACAATATAACTCAAATAATAAATAACTCAATTGATGTCAACTGAACAGCAACCAAACACAAGCAAAAGCTGACCTCCAGACACAGAACCAAGGCTGCTTAAGTAGGGGTGGACCACCCTAAACTTGCCACATGAGGGAACATGATAGAAGTACAACAAAACACAAACCTAACACAAAATCATATTTAACTTGATACAAATAAGAATAGTGACTAAATAACTTGGGTATTAGTTTCAAATATAACATTCCCCCTCCCTCAGTCTTTGGAACAATGGTGTGTTCCAACGCTTCCACATCCAGCTGGATTGTAATTGGGGCACTTGGTGGTGGCAGTCGGAGCATCCACCACAGTCTTAGTTATTGGAACAATGTTTTATATTATGTTAGAGGTTACTATTTATACCTGTTACTGTAACTGCATTTTACACTGCCTTTGCCTCATCACTAGTGGTCTTCACGCTGCCTTAAAACTCTCGAAGTGTGACATGTTTGAGTTAACTTTTGTTTCCTTGCTCATTTTATAAGTATCATCCTCGACCACTGACTCCACAATATATTTGACGACGCTTCAGTGTCATTAAGAACTATCAATTGGACAAATTAATTTTCAGTAAGCTCTGTGCTTTACCATTTTGATTGATTGGTAATGAAGATATTAAGCAGAATTAACCCCCTTATTTGTATTCATATATTTAATAAAAGTGTATATTTTTGTTTAAGTTTGGAATATCTGGTCCAGTAACATTATCAACAGATCTCTTAAGCCATACCAAGCATCTATTGGAGAAAGAAATTGACAAAACTAGTCTGACAAGCAAACTGAAAGAGGGAGAGTCAGTTACCACAAGGGGGTGGGGCCACAAAGAGAACCAAGAGGAAGGGACATAAAACTGTTTGAGACAGCAGACGAAAATTTTGAACTCTTCAACTATTCTTCAGGGATGGGTGATCAAGCCACTCTGGTCGAATCCGCTACCTCTTCATTTGTCACTGCAATTCCTGCAGTTGCAGGGGGAAGGCAGGGTGAGAAAAGGGGGCTGTTGAATAGCTGCAAACTGGCGTGTGAAGGACAGAGAAGTGTGGAGGTCATTATGGAGGCCATGCTGTTCTTAAACAACTTGAAAGAAAGCGGGATCAAAGTTGGAGATACTTATCTTTTTGTTGGTTGTGAGTCAATTATAAGAAATGCAATATTGCATGAAATTGTTAGTGTATTTTTAGCATACGGTATTTCAACTTCACAGCAGAACTTTTGGCCAGCATTCATGTGGACCTGCAGATTAATTAAAAAACTTTTGGTGCGGCATTCTGGCTTTGATAAATCATGTGATCGTTTGTATAATCTAATGAATTTAAGTAAAGTCAATTAGATTCAGCCTTTTCCCCTGTAAGTTGGGGTCTTAAAGCTTTTTTTAAATATATTTCAGATGGGTTGCTGAAATTTTAGATTATTACAATATTCAGAGTTAACACTGCCTAAGAATATCAACAAATGAGCAAACGAGTGTCTGAAAAATAGAGCTAGCACCATGTAGCTCCTTTAATACCTGTTTATTCTCTCAGTGACTATATTTAACCCATATGTATTGGGGAGGTAATTTTAGCACTCAGAATAGTTGCTTCAAGGTGGTGTTTATTATCAGTCCTCTGCGATTTGTTTTCATTTCCAATACAAGATGTGACATATTGGTGTAGATTTTGTTGAAGATACTACTAATACTCACACATTTCTCTTGTCAATTTTTTACGAAGTCAGAATCCTTTCTATTCCTGTGTTGTCAACTTGGTCCTTTTAACTCTTGAGTCTTGTGACTGTTTCTATTTGTAAGTGAAAAACAAAAATGGATTTAGTTCAACAGTTTAATTTGTTTGTGCCATTTAGGAATAGCTAATGCAAGTTTCAAAAATTAGCATTCAGTATATTGTACTAGAATATTTCAGTTTGGTAGTTAACCAGCTAGCATTGTTTGGTTAAGGCTGCTGTCTTGGTAGAATTTGTAGCTTACAGTTTATGCATGTGCCAAGCTGTCATGATTGTAAATCAAATTGCTACAATATTAGATATATTAGATAGATATATTATTCCACAAAAATTAAAAAATTTGTTTACATTTTTTTTTACCTCATGTTAGTCAAATGCCATATTAAAATAATGTTTTTGTAACAGCTATCAGTAGATTGGGCTGGTCTTCTTTAATTTGGTTTGCAAAATTGCCTTGTTTAATTTGCAGCCCCTTTTTAAAAGCTAAATATACCTATGTTTTATTTAGTTTATTGCCTCCCTCTCATGCTAGAAGGGAGTGACATGATGTATGTGTTTTTGGTGGCAACTTGCAATTATGTTGCAAAGTCTTTCTTTATTCTTGCATGCGTTTCCTGAGTGGCCCTGGAAAAGCGAAAGCCCACGGGAGTAACTCACAAGCAAGTGGCCTAGCCTTGGCTCCTGGGGCCCGGTCAGGTTCAGCTTGAGAAAGAGGCAGGAGACCATCTTCATGTGGGCCCACCACTCATGGGGAGTCGTGGTCGGGTGTAGTGTGGGCTTGGGGTAGGGTTGTCAGAATACTAAAATTTTCAACTCGATACCGATACACAGGAAAATATTCAATACTCAATACCATTTTGGATACCACAACTATAAAAACAAAGACCCCAAAATTGGACTGAATTTCGACAGGTTAGAGTCTTTCATTCCAAACTTCCCTATTACTGATGTTATCGTGGCCGGTGGCCTGCATTAATGTTGGCGGGTTATTATTAGCCATTTGCTGCAGCTAGCAATTCAAGGCATTATCAACGTAAATAAATAAATCAGAGAGATGGGGCGCAGCGTCTGCAGGTCAGCAGCGTGCACATGGGGAGAGGGGGTTTTGGTATCGATACTTTTGAAAATGAGTATCGTATGCGGATACAACATTTTAGTATCTATACTTTTTTGAGTATCAATACTTTTGACAACCCTAGCTTGGGGGCAGCCAAGGGCTGGGACCTCAGCAAGACTTCTTGACAGATCTGGATTTCCAGTCAGGGTGAACTGGAATGTATAATAGAGCCCCCTGCCAGCCAGGTCTTTAACTTACATCTTCGGGAGAATCATTATCACATCCCAAGGATGATTGGAGACATGGAATCTAAATGGACAATCAAATCTTCCTCCAGCAAAGCACCTGAAGTAGATTAGATTTACCCTCAGATGCTAAAGACTGAACATGGTTGGGCTGACAATGGCACTTGTGAAGTGGCAAAAGGTGGTGGTCCCCATCTTCAGCAAGGGGGACTGTGGAGTGTACTACAAGGGGGTTTAACACTACTCAGTCTTCCTAGGTACATTTATTCCAGGGTGTTGGAGAGGAGGAGGGGGGTTGGACAGGATCTAAAGGTGCAGTTGTGGATAGTAAAGTTTCTGGTTTTGGAGCCTCAGAATTGCATCTCTGATTTTTGCAGATGAAGTGGTTCTGTTGCCTTTTCACACCTGTACCTTTAGATCACACTGGAGTTGGACTGGGTCTTTGTCAGCTGTAAAGAAGAAAGTGCTCAATCCTGTTTGGTTAAAACAGAGATGAGCCCATCTTTGTTCCATACGTCACCTATGATCAGGAGATCTGGATCATGACTGTAAAAACTAGATTGCCAATACAAGCAGTGGAGAAAAGGGTTTCTGTTGGAGTTTGGCTGGGTTCAGCCACTGAGACAGGGTAAAGAGCTCAGCAATTTTCTAGGAAGCTTAAACTTGAGCCACTGCTCCTCTTCTTGAATGCAGTCAGCTGAGGTGGTCCATTCATATTAGGGATGGGACGGTTTCTGAAAACCGTCTGAACCGTTCGGTTCGACTGTCTCGGTTCGGTTCGCGTGTGTTGCGTTCGGTTCATGCTGCTCCTTTTTCTCAGAGGGAAGCGTTTACACTCCAGAGCAGAAGGGGGCGCTACTGCGCCCAAAGCCAACCACCAGTAGGAAACAAGAAGAAGAAGAAGCAGCGTAGCAGATAAAAATCAGATGCGCCAACAGCAGTTTCTAGGTCTGCTGTATGGACCACTTTGCATTTAGAGGGAAGCACATGTTGGAATTAGTTTCCTCTCTTGCAATGCCAGAATCTCACCTACTTTTAACCTAAGACTGTCACAATAATGTATCAAATGTCAGACTACTTTTTTCTTTCAGTTTTAACCTGACTATACAAAACATAATAGATTTTCCTAACAATCAACATATACCGAACCGAAAGCCGTGACCACGAAACCGTAAATCGAACCGAACCGTGGATTTTGTGAACCGTCCCACCCCTAATTCATATAGTGTGAATTCTATCTGGTCACCTCCCCTCCTTTCAAGGCAAGACCCAATGAAGACCCAGGATTAGATGGAGAGATTAAATATCCCTTATGGCCCATGAAAGCCTCTTCTAGGAAGCCTGTTGCCTCTGCAACCTTGGATAAGGGGATGAAAAATAATACATTGCTGTTCCTTTTCAAAATGCCCTAAGTACAGGTGTTGGGTATTTTTGCACTGATAACTATGATCTGTTTAGCATTACTCCGTACAAAATGTATACAATATATTTATTGTAGTATAAATATTTTTATTTGCAATGCACTGAATGACGTGAAAATTCCATTAAGAAATTTTAAATGTACATCTTGACCCAATGTTTCGTCTCTTCTTTTGCAGATGGTACCAAAACCCAGCAAGCCAGTAAGAATGGGAAAAGGGCTGATTCCGGGTCCAATAGTACCAGCTTCTTCACTTGGTTCATTGTGCTGGCCCTGCTGGGTGTATGGACATCTGTAGCTGTGGTCTACTTTGAGTTGGTGGACTATCAAGGAGTTGTTGGTGTGTACATGTGTGGAACACGTTCACATAGACATACAAACTATTTGGCAGATCTATCTATCTATCTATCTATCTATCTATCTATCTATCTATCTATC